ACTGTGAATCCTAAAGTAAAATATCCCATTATAGTTTAAGCTTATGACTTGACGAGTTAAGTGCCTTGGAAATATCTGTTCAAAAGTTAAATGTCATAAATCCCTTACATAAAAGGATACTCTTCCGATGATGCTTAAAGCTGGAGATATAACTAACCCTACTTTCTGAAACATTTTAATCTTAAATCAAAACGGTATCAGTTATAAAGATGGATTTCAGTAGTAACTGGAGGATGAGTCTATGAATCTTTACTCGGATGATATGCTTTGATAATCCAAAGCAAAAATTGTCTGCATATACCCTAATATGCAGAATTAATGTAGATTTCATCACACAGGGAATCAAAAAGCAGTGAATAGTTTCATAGAATAATTTTGTTAACAGTTTTGTGCTCAACAAACTATGCCATCAGCATTCATGAAAACTTAATTAACTGTCATCATGGCTATCAATACCGTGGCATGTGCTACTGATAAGATTTATTAGTAGTATATAAAAAGACGTTCATTGGCATGAAAATATCGAATAGCCGAGAGATAGATTTGACTTCAAAAGGAGTAAATGATTCTGTAGGAATGTTTAAATATAATTATTTGCGCAACTATCGTTTTTCCATCTTCTGCTTTCCAAGTGGAACATTGGGCTTGAAGCTTTGAAGGTATAGTAACAGTGGGGATGTTTTTACGCAGTAAGATCCGTAGCCGCACACTCAACCTCCCCTTGTTTCTGGATTTACTATCGGCTAGATGAGGTTTAGGAACAAGTCATCCATTAAAGGAACTCCGGTCTGTTGCCTGGCCACTGAGCATCCTGTTGGTGACCTACCAAAAACGAAAGATTGGTGACTTCAAATATTTGCTCAGAAGAATGGATACCAATACTGATAATCAGATTACTATACAGTCGATTTCAAGTAATTTTAAATGGATAGAGTTAATTTTAATCACACATCTCAATGTTACTAACCTAAAAAGAATGGATAATTTAGTGATTATTCGTTGACATGACGACATATCAAGAGGTTTATTTGATTATGGTTATGTTCAGACTTTAAAATTTTACGTCGTGTAAATTTATTTCACTTGCTTAAGCGGATCATGACCCAGGTCTTCTTTCAAATTAGATCTTGATACTTTACAAGGCTATCCCAGGACGCCTAGGCGGAAATCAGTCGATCACTTTGTTTTCTAGTTCAGCTGCATGAGATTCAGAGCAACAAAAAGCCTTATAAGAATGATGCAAATAATTATGAACAGTCATGGATAAACCATTCTATAACAGCCAATTAAAAAACCATTGAACATTAAAATAAAACATTGGTTTAGTTGATTATTGGGCATTCTGTTCACACTGTTAGATCCCCAGGTGAACCATTTAAAGACGATAAGGTGATTTTCATATTAAGTAATTATAATTTACAAAAATTTTCTATCTCTGTGTAATTTCGAATAACGTAGTACATTACGAACTAATACAAACTTCGATGCACAACACAATACAGAAATACTACTTAGGTAACATAACCATCATTACATTGCGTCAGTGACACAGCGGTAGAATACTTGCCAACCACACATGTTGTTCAAGGTTCGATCCCCAGCCACTGACGCATTGCTTTACCTCGATTGGTCAGTAATAAGACTGATAAATAAGGAAAGTTGGGCATGAGGATAGCAACCCCACCACGTAAAAACAAACACCACTGCTACCGAAACTTCATAGCTCTAGCTTGAAGCCCTGTGTTCCACTAAGGACATAAAGGAATAAAATAAATAATGATACGGTTGTTGCAGTGGAAAGTGGTGTTTTGGCTTGATGACTATCCCTCGTCATCTTTTTCATTCCTTCGAGTTCCAAGTGAAACATAGAGCTTCAGCCCTTAGCTTTGAAGTTTTCTTAGAGATGGGGTTGGTTTTACGGGATATGAATCAGCCTGGAATCGAATGAGGACCACATGCGTGATCGGCGAACATGCAACCTCTGGACCCTCGACACACTTGATGTCTGTTAACTATAGCTAACCCCTCTAAAAAAATAAACAGAGAAGGGTCTCCCAGTTCTTTAGTAGTTTAAAGAATAAAATATCTACCGGTGCAATTTTATGCAATAAAGCTTGGAAAATAAAAAACACTTCTCAAATATTTTATTTCAACCGCCACTTGGTTAATAAGCAGTCGAATACAATGCGTCAAGCTGAGAAATCAAGCATTCTTTTTTTATTTTATATATTTATAAATACTAACAGCTTCTTTTTCTTATGTTTTAATCAAATTACGAGACAACAAAATAAGGACAAAAGAAGTCATTTTATAACTGGTTAAACTAGATAATGATTTACTGTCAAAGAAAGACGTCTCCTATTCATCAACACAGGGAAACAAATATACAAATAAATATACAATCTAATGTGAATAGGGAATGTTTAGCGAAATTCTGCTTTGAGGTTTTAAACTACTGACTTTCTAATTATATGACCAATGATGAGGGAGTCGAAAAGAAAATTGGTGAGATAATTCCGAGTAGGTTAGAAAACAAAAAGTGCATCTATTAAATTCATTCTACCTAGACTACTACACCTGTTAAACCGTATATAACCTGCTACCTTACATGTCGATATCTTTCTGCTTAAATTGTCCATATAAGATATGCTTGAATGCTAGAAGGTGGGAGAATTATGCGGAAAAAGGTTTTGTCGACTAGTTAGAAGCTGCACAAACACATAGAAGTTAAACTAAGCTGTGAGGTACATTTTGGTGATGGCTTTCAGTAATCACAATGGTCACGCTAATGTCTTCCTATCAGTAAACTTCTGTTATCCAAATCCTTATACAGAATTCCATAATATTAAGTCCCATAGTCTAATGACTGATCGTCAACAGGATTCAGTTAATGTTTCAGCTACAAGTGACGTGGATGAGGATATCAGAATCAGAATCAGAAAGAGAAGGCAGACCTTCATCACTCCGAAATCAGTTTGGAAATCTTCTGAGCCACCTGGTATTGAGAACAAGATCCGGACTTTCAACACTAATATCGAGTAAGTTCTTCTGTATGCTTCAAAGTCTTGATACATCAACAAGACCATTTCCAGGAGGCTAATAATAATAACATAAGTAAAAATGATGACATAAATAAGAAAGAATATAAGGCATCTACAGTCATACAATGCAAGGAGGGGACATCTGAGGTCCTACATAGGATTCTTAATAAAGTAGGAATTAGGGTGGCATTCAAACCTACAAACTCACTCAGAGACAAGCTATGTAGGCTAAAGGATCCGGTGGACCCAATTAAACAAAATAATATCACTGACAAAATACCTTGCAATCACTGTGAGTTAAGTCAACTACATAGGTCAAACTAGTAGATTAGGAGTAGTGAGATTATCGGAACCTAAGAGTTTAGCTAAGGCTAGGATGATTGGTCCAACAAGGATAAGTAATTTAGAGAAAAAAAACTTAGTAATAGCACTGTGTGCATTAACACACAACCACACAATGGGATGGGACAGAGTTCAAATTCTAAAAAGTAATATAGATAGGTGGAGATAGAAGACAGATTGATTATTGAGTCCTGGTTCATCGAATTTACACCCAATAAATCCAACAGAAGTGACTCAACGCAAATAACAGAGATATAGAAGATATTATTACCAGTCAAATCAGAGGAGGATAATAAATAATGTTAAAATGTATTCAATTCACATTTGGACATTCTAACAAGTTACTTATTTTTACTATAAAACACCTTACTTCCTATATTATTCTTTTTGATTGATAACACTAATATTATTTCTGAATGTACTTTATCTTATATTGATTTTATTCAAATGTCTAATCAATTTTACTCATGTATATAAATGAAGCAAAAAGTTGTGTAACTTGATATGATTGTGAACAATAATTTGTGCTTGAAACGTCGTTATCAGTTAATACTACTGTACAACGCTGTGTGATTTATCAAAATAAAATCTTATCCACAATGGAGTTACACTCCACCACGGTGCTGAAGTTGTATACTTATGTCAATAAGGCTACAATAGACTTTTGTCAACAGCTGCCTTCGTTGACTCCATGCTGAAGATCAGATGGCCAGAAAGGATATGCAAAAAAGAACTCTGGTTACGAACCAACTTCGGACCTATAGCTCAGCAAATATTCCGAAGGAAATACGTATGGATCACACAGGCTCTGGGGAGACCGTTGGGTGACACCTCGCTCCAGGTAAACCCTCCAGTGGAACCCAAGTGGGGAAAGGCGAGTCAGGCATGAATCGTAGGATGGCATGGAGGAGATGAGACCTTTTGTGCAGCCATGAGACCATCTATAGAGGACTTCACAGATCAGGATAAAATGGAGATGTGCTGTTGAAACCCTATGTGACACTCGGTACCCATGGGAATAATAATAATATAGGATAGATTATGTAGTATTGAATGACATGCGGCCTGCTTAAAACTTGGGCTACCAAGAACTTCCAATTCTCTCTCTATTGCACATATTTCCTCTGGTTCGCTTTGTTTTCATCGATTAAAACATGACCTCTAATGGTATTATCTACTCTTGTGTGTTTTTAAAATGTTTACAAGCTTCTGATTAGCAAGTTCCTACTAAACTTGAGAAAAGGCTTGATTGTGGGTGGCGATGTGTCCTTCTACATGAGATAACTGTTCTTCAGTTATTTCCTTGTGTCTCAAAATATACTTCTGAGCATCTTACAATTGGCTTTCAACTAGATGTTGTAGATTTATTGAAGGAGACAAAGCAGAAATATCATAATGGAATGGTTTGCACTTCAGCTCAGAGACCATTGTGTCACAGGATATACTGTCAATTAATATTTTCCTTGAAGATATCATACGAAGGGGGAATATCATGCAATGAACTCCTCTGAAAATTCTGTACATTTTATGAATACTGTCCAGAACAAAGCTGTTATTATTATTATTACCATTAAAAATATATTAAATCATTGGCAATGTCTGGTAATAAAAACTCACCTTGTGATTTTCCCTTGAACTTGATCCTTAATTGATATTTCCCCAGTTGGATTAAAATTAGTATTATTCTCCATATTTGTTGATATCCTTAAAGAAAGGAATCTCGATGACTTTGTTTAATTAGAATATAAATATATTTGTTTACATAAATGCATCTAAAAGTGGACCACTTCACGGATTATTCCTGATCAAACAAACTATGTTTAAAGTTGTCAATGTTATTATTAATAATTGTAATAATAGTTAGTTTAGGAACCCTTTGAGAAGTGAATAAACTCAAAAATAAAATATTCCCATTTTTAGTTTTATATTTATTATTAAATATTGTGTTTCTATAATATGAATGAAATTTTCTTTCAATCAATTCTATTATACTACTGATTTTGTAGAGTATAATAAATACTCAAAAGATTAGATGAGATGGTAATATTTCCTACTCAAAGTATCTCCCTACTATATAAAGAGGGATTGGTTATTTTAAGCGAACCAATAAATAAAATATCCTCAACTCAACCAGTTAAATCATTGAAAGGCAGATAAAAGAAACAAAATGACAATCTTCTTCTGCAGAAAGATACTGCATAGAATCAAGTCAATTTCTATTTTATATAGATATTTTTGTTTCCTCTGCCTCTCTGTATATATATTTCTCTAGTTTATCAACTTTGAGCTGTAGTTGTTCTGTTGTAGTTGCTATTAGTAAGTTGGACGTTTATGTTGAAAAGAGTTTGAGTAGGCGTTGTTATAACAGTATCTAACTATATTTTTGTATATTCTATACTATTACAAATGTATGAGTGTGTGTGTGTGTGTGTTTATGATTGAATAACTACTAATATTTCTCCCATTTCGATTACACTGAGATTGGATTAGATTAATTTGTATGATTTCAATAGTCAGTCACTTGAATGAAATTCATGATATAGAGAAGTAAAATCAATTAATAATCATTACTACTGTTATATTAATGCTCATTTCTGAAAATGAATAACTTTTCAGATGGCGTAGATGTCGATTTTTATAAGCGATACATTTTGAATTAGACAGCCTGATAAAATATTCATTAATAGGCTCTTTATGCAACTCGTCAGTACCTGTACAACTGACACTCTGAACAATGAGATAAGCAAGATAAAAATCTCATTGTACAAGGGCGTACATCCGAAAAAATTAGTTAAAGTCATCATAAGGGGAACAGATACAGAGAAATGCCTGAAACCGGTGCAGAAGAAACGCATACAGATGACTTTGCCGTCCAAAAGAGACGCAGTTAATGTATCAGAAAAATTGTAGCTAAAACATTCTTTGCAGCAACAGTATGTTTAAAATTCATCACTCGTTGTATAACTCCAATGCAGTTGAGGGATAAGCTAATGAGTCTGGCTACTTCAGTGTGCATTTATAAATTTAACTGTTCTTGTAGAGATAGTTATATAGGTGGGACGACTCGGCTAGCTCACAGTAACCGTCTTGAACATTGTCCAACATGGTTAGGAAAAGGATGTGGAGCTCAAGATTGGTAGAAATTCAGCCTTTACAATTCTGAACAAGCTGACACCTCAGTTTCCTAGGTTTGTACGCCTTCATTTCAAAACTTTGTCCAAGCAATATAACCAGTGTTAACTTGGAAAACAGAAGGCTTGTTCACCTCTACAGATATACCTGCTAACTAGGCTTGAAAGTATTATACTGTGTTTTGAGATACGCATCCGTTTTATTATATTATTGTTGTTTCCGTAGGTTCCGAGTGGAACATAGGGCTTCAACAGCATATCTCCATTTATTCTGTTCTGTTCTCTGAAGTCCTCTTCAGCTGGCTCCATGATTCCATACAAGCTCTCATCTCCTCTTCATACGAAGTCCTCCACGCCCAACTCGAAATTTTCCATTCGGAGTCCATTAGAACGATGACCTGGCGGGAGATGTCACCTGACAGTCTCCTCAGGGTGTATTCAATTCACAATTTATTTGAAGTTTATGTATAGAATTCTACTGCTTTCGGCTTTGGGTTAGAGACAAATTTTGAAATATTAGTCATCTCATATTGACGAAAAATGAACGCTTATTTAAGAAACTGTACTACCTACAGGTAGTTTTCCTCATCAATCAACATTGGCTGGAAAACCACTGGTGCAAAATAATATGAATCTACTTGCTTGCAGTCGATAATCTTGAATAAATAAAAGTCAGCTTAAAATTTAACATACTTTTATCCATCAACAAACATATTATAGGAGCATCACGGTGGGATAAAACATCAGGATGGCAAGGTAGTTGGAGTGTAAGTATATATACATATATCTTGTTAGAGAGAAGTTACTAGACAATTAATTGACAAGTCTGTTGTTAGGGTGGTAACAAAAAATAGTGATAATAACGCAGTTAGGTAAGAGATCAAAATTTGATGTGCAAGTGGTCAAATGAACAGATGATGATGTAATATCATAAGGTTAAGAAGAATTATCTCTTGTGGAAGTCAAGCAGAAAAAAGAAGGGAGGGGGTTGCAAAGATAAGTTAATAAAGTTAGAAAATAATGAGTTATTACGCGATGAGTCACCAGGTTAAGTGAAGTTCAACGACAGACTGCTTTGAGACACATGGGTCAAGTTTCAGCCGTTTTACTACGTTAGCCTTAACAAACCAAAGAAGTCTTGAGCCGTTTTATCTGTTAATTATTTTGAATAATGCTAGAGCGTCTACTCGGTGTCCTGTGTTTGTTGGGCGTTTGGTAATTGAAGGGCTTAAACTGATCGGTTCCCTTAACCAGAATCTTTTCAGTATATTTTCGAAGAATCTGACGTAGGCCCCTCTTTCTTTTCTCCTGGGTCATGTTATGCTGTAAATACGCAGAAGTTGGAAACTAAGACCAGTGAATCCTATGCAACTAACTAGATGTTTCTAGACTCGATTCTGCATAAAATAAAGCGTGCCTACAAATGGCGGATCCAGTATCCGCAATGAACCAAAAGCTCTGAAACTGGAGCAAAATACCTTTGATTTTCGCTTTCCAATGTTTTGGTAGTTGGTATTTGTTTGTGATGAAAATCAAGCTGAAATCAATCCATTTTCAACCAGATACATAATACCAATTTCATTAATAACTAGCTATAACCATAATTAAACCTCGCCTAGATTACTAGCTCGCAAAAACCAGGAACAACAACAGCAGCAGCAACATACAGCGCCAATCACCATCAACGGGAGGGATTTGAAAGAGGTTACTTCATTCACTTATCTAGGGAGCATTGTCTCAACTACAGGACCAACGGACGAGGATGTCAAATCGAGAATCGGGAAGGCAAGAAACACATTCATCAACCTGAAACCAATCTGGAAATCTTCGTCACTCAGCCTGTATCAACAACAAAATTCGGATTTTCAATACAAACGTCAAGTCAGTCAGTTCTTCTACACGGATAGATCAGAAACTTGGCGGGTCACAAAGAAAATTTACAACAGCCTGTTACAGACCTTTATGAACAACAACTGTCTTCGCTCTATACTGAAGATCAGATGGCCGGAAAGAACAAGAAACAACAAGAAACTATGGGAACAAACAAAACAAGAACCAATCACCCAACAAATATGCAGGAGAAAGTGGAGATGGATTGGACACTCGCTGAGCTGAGGAGGCCGCTGGGTAATATCGCGCGTCAGGCCATAACTCGAGTGGAACCCGAAAGGGAAGCGACGAGTGGGACGTCCAAGGGTGACATGGAGGCGATCGCATGAAGAGGAGTTGAAACAGTGTGAACTAACATGGATGCAAGTGAAAAGTACAGTAGAAGACAGAAGCAAGTGGAGACGTGCAGTTGAAGCCTTATGTTCCACTAGGAACCCAAGGGAATAATAATAATAATTAACTAGGTGATTCTAACAATTATAATAGTCTACAGCAGTTTCCATTCCCATCCAGCGTGTCTCCTTGATCATCATTATCATCATAGCAAGGACCATAAAATTTGCAGTATAAAATGTGCACATTTTATTTCCAGACTTCCCTTTAACTTCAGATAGCTTAAAATATACAACATAGCATTAACAAAATAAGAATATACATTCTTTTTATTCTATTCATGGAAGTTTGGCGTCAAGATCTTAGTTTAGGGAGACAATAACGAGTGTATTGTGATGACACAAACCAGTTACAAGTAACATAATTTCGAAAAAACATTCGCGACGTTTTGTTAGTTGACTTAACAACAAAAAAATACTGACGAACCAGAAACATGCAGAAAAAAAGAGATTATGCAATACTATACGATTAAGTATTTGAAAGTGATTAGAAATCAGTTATGTGAGTTAAGAACAGTGAGTCAGAAAAAGCCATAGTGACGATAATAACGAGAATGGATACATACTTATGCAGCAAGTGTAAAAATTGTTAACAGGGTAAACTAAGATTAATCACCTTTTCATTTTGTATACACAAGTTTGGTTTGAGTTACTTGACGAGAATAGATGATTCAGCGAAATCGAAGTAAATTTCGGCTTCTTTGTTTTTTAATGATGGTAAAAGCAGTTTGAATATCTCCTTTGTGTTCTGATTCAATTGGATGTCATCCAATGGCAATGGTAATGGAATGAGGGTCTTTGAGTCTCAGACTTTTGGGGATGTGTTCGATGAGGTAAACAATAAGCTTTAGTAAATTACTTTCATTTGAAAAGCTGTTGTTGAGGACTGTCGCCAGAGTTGTAAATTAGAAATAAAATACGAAGTTCAAAATCTGAAAACATTACTAGGAATACTCAGTAAAAATTTACTGCATTTCGCTATTATGCAGTTCATTCATTTATTAATTTTATCTTCATACACGAAGATTTCGAAACACTCCGCCTCTATCTTAACATATGTGTGGTTATTGTAGATTTCCAAATTCTCGAAATTACTTTCATTAAATTTTTAATCACTTTCTGTTTGTTTACAGTGATGTATCTGATTAGCCAACCACTCGAATGTCTCCAATATTATATTGGATTTGTAAACACCGATTAGTGAATTTCAGTAAAACAGTAAAGACGTCTACCCCTTCAGCTTTGAATTCTTGGATGTATGTATCACATTAATTTAGGAGATTCAGAGTTTGTTTGCATTTCAGAGAGAAGACCATTAATTCAGCGAAGAGTCTCTTTTCGGCGAATTCATTTTCACAACTGTACAATCACAAATATATATGGTTATTTTGTATGTGTGTGTGTACATTAACTTTGTCAAACGAAAATACAAT